TTTCAGTCAGTCTTGGCAGAGGACTAATTATTAAAGTGTAACAAGTAATTATTAGTGTAAAAAGTTACACTAATTATTAAAGTGTAACAAGGAAGTAAAATATCAGAGAGCATTTTTTTATCTGAGGGAACAAAGGGAAGGAGAAAAAATATATATAAATTTGTGACTAATGAAAGACTGAAGAGCCATGGATTCACAATGCCAATGGGTTAAAAAATTCCCTGGTAAAGACAAGCAGAAAACTAGAATGTCATTGCAATCTGAGACAGAAAACTCCAACAACTCAAAATGGACGCTACAAAATCAATTCATATTTGCTTAGAAACAGAAGCTCACAAAGATGGACGGTGCTCTGATACTATAGACATGATTAATTAAAAATAAATAAAAAGAAATAAAAGACTGCAAGAAATATCTAAGTCCTAATGATATGAAGAATCCAGACAAGCAAAACTAGTGCAGCCTCTATGCTGTGACAACCAAATGAAAAAAATCCAGATAATTATGTCATTCTGCAAAAACTTCCCAGTACACTGAGGAAAGTGAATGAACATTTATTGAAGTTGAACTGGTTGCACAAAACTCTCTGCTTCTAGGAATTTTATTTGTTGTTAAGACTACTGGTTTTGGCCCTGAGCTCTCTTCCATTGAGGCCTGTAGGTAACTGCTGGGCAGGGAAGACTTTCATCTGGATCATTAAAAGCAGAGCATGGTTGCTCTTTGTGTTAGGTTACTGAGAGCAGCAGTTCTGTTTAAAACATCAGGTCCTCACACATTCAGTAACTGTATCTCTACTGGGTGAGAATTTTGCTTCTGATTCCTCTTTGGAGCCCTTGTATCCCTTGGTCAAATGTGTTTGTAACTGACTCACATATCAGAAAAGAATTTGGGAGCAAGAGAAATGCCATGTAAAGTTCTGTGGAAAAAAAATGCTTGAATTTAAAATGATCAAAGCTTTCAGATTTGCTCACTATTTATACTTGAAAGGTATGTGACATATTTCTCCTTCAAGCAAAGAGTTACAAGAGTATTAGATGTGAGCTCCGGTGACCAGGTTTATACAACAGGCAGTAGTGGGCTACCTGAAACTTTGATTCTTGTGCCCTTGTAATCATTTTTCTATTCAGTTGAGGAATTAAATCTAGTGATTTAATTTCCTTGACCTTCAGTTTCCCTGTTAGTAAAATGTAGATAATGTTACCTAGCCAGCTTTGACAGAAGTGTTAAGAAGAATGTATGGATTCTTATTTCTGGAACCAGTATTTCAATATTTCAGTTTTCCATTTGCTTATGATGATTCATAGCAAATTTTCAAACATGTATCAATAGATCATAAGATAGCTAATTCTTTTCATTTTTTTTTGCAGAGGGTTATAAATTCATGTTTATTTCAAGAATTGTAAGCATATTATAACATGTAAGAGCTGTATCGATATAATTTATTTTAAAAGGAACTTTTAGTGATTGGCTAAAAATTTTCCAGATAGTAAGTATTCAAACATTCAGTCTTAACCTTCCAATTATACCTCTTTCCAGTGTGGAGCTCCATAAAAATAATAAACTGCATTGTCATTGTTGTGCTTCCTGTCAGTATCTCCTACTTGGTCAATGTGTATTTATCAAAATCCTTGTCTTGTTGATATGTGACTGCTGTTGCATTGTGGTGGCTTCTGTCAGATAATGCAGCTGTCTTGAACTCCCACATATAAGAAAAAATACAGCTATAGCCCTTTGAAGAACTCTTATAAAATGTTTCTAATTAGACACATATGAGAGAGTGCCAGAGGGATTTGTTCATTGTCACAGATCTTCAGAGCTGAATTTCTGCAACAATTTGCTGAAGCACATAGACAACAAGAGGCATTTATGACTGCATGTGAGATAAGAGATGTGCTAGATCTGAAGCATCAGAAATAAGAAGCAGTGGGAAACAGAAACATCCTTGTATTTCAAGACAATTAAACTTAGTGTTTATCCACGGCATTCAGGCAACAAATACTTAATATAACGTTCAAAAGGAAACAGTTTAAAGAATACTTTTACAAGAAATTTTTAACCTTATCTGTAGTCCAGTATGAACAGATGTTCCTTTAAAATAGTGTATCTAAATGGCAGATAAACTTGTCATTTTTTGGTGATAGACTAGACAGTGGAAAAGTTTTGCTTCTTCATGTAATAAGGTTCTCTGCTGGGACAAGCAGGTCCCATGTACCTTGGAGTGTTCTGTTGAATGTGCTGTGCATGATGAGCTTTTTAACCAAGTATCACTTACATGCAATGTGACAAGTTGTGCCATGAACAGCCAATCTAATGAAACCTAGTTTCCAGTGTCTCTCTCCCTAATTTTTTCCCTTCATGTTGACTGGTAGGTGATGATCTTGTAAGTCTTACTGTGTATAAGGATTTAATAGAGTGTCTATTCCCATTTGTAGTCTGCTTTTCCTGAAATTTGGTAAAAAAAATCCTCAGATCTTCTATGGTTTTGTCCAGTTTGCTTAAAATTTTTCTGAAGCACAAAAGATCTTTCAAGGGAACAGACATTGCACATAAATACTACTTTGTCAGTCTCCTTTTTTTGAGAAATCAGTCTAAATGCAGTATTTAGAATTTTCACTAAAAGAAATCCACATGTCAGAAGGACTACTTGTATTAACTCCATCAGAATATATAACATTGCAGTATTAAAATAATTGGCAAAAACCAGCAAGTTAAAATGCTGCAGAAAATGAAGCAAAAATGCCAAATTAATGTTACTGAATCTAAATTAATGTTTTCTTCTCTTGTATTTGTAAAGCTCCATGTTACATGTGAAGCCAGGTGTACTGTGAGCAAGCTACAGGAAAATGACATGCTCAATATACTTAATGTCTCAGAGTTGGGTTAAAAAATATTGAATGCATTTCACAGATTTCACTGAGTATTCTGTGCTGGAAGGGACCCACAAAGATCATGAAGTCCAGCTCTTAAGTGAATGGCCCATAAGAGGATCAAACCCACAATCTTGGTGTTCTTAGCACCATGCATCTGAACTAAGTTCCTATTTTCTAAAGTTTTATTAGGAGCCCGCACTCAAAGAGTAGACATGGATTATCAAGGCCATCCCTGGATAAATCCCTGCAAAATCTGATCCATGCCAGTTGTGTTATAAACAGACATTGGACCAGGTGACCTCCAGAGGGACCCTCCTGACCTAAATAAATCTATCATCTGTGACCAAAAAGAACTGACCTATAAAGTATATGTAATCTGTATGCTTTAAATTACCTGAAATTACTTCTTTATAAATCAATTCTAGCCTTTAAAGCTGTGTTAGCCTTCATTAAACCAAAATAATATTTATCATAATACTTTATAAATCTGTACATGGTCTATTTAATAGCCAGGCTAGCTGGAAATTATTTTGTTATCTATAAAAATAAGAAATTAGAACAGATCTAAATTTTAGTCATATTGGGTATAATCTCACTTTAGATCCTGAGAAAGGACAGAATTGTATTATTTTCACAGTATCTAGAAGATTAACGAGAAAATGGCATATTCAGTGATAGACAATGTGATACAAAACAGCACTTGCAAGAGAAATGCAAGAAGAATTCTACATCAGTTGTTACTGAATTTAGAGAATGAGGTTGTCATTCATGACAAACAATAGTTCATCGTGTATTTCTTTTGTGGGGGATGGATAGTATAAAGTCCAAAATATTGTCTGCTTATTCAGAATGTAAACATGGAGGTGTGCAGAAAATAGTGTTTCCTGATTTGGAAATGTAGTTTATCAAGGTTTAATCAGTATAGTTTGAAGAAAAAAATATAAGACATGAAGAATAAGTCTGTAAATACTTTAGAGAAATGAGGTGGTGTTATAAAAGGAGAAAATAGCTCTCATCTATAACAGAGAGGGAAGTGTCCTATCACTCGTATTTCATACAAACACAGTGCCATGTGGAATGAAATTAGCAAACGTGCAGAATTGAATTGTGAACAACTAGAGGATAGCTACAACAGCCATTAGAAAAACATTTGTAGATCCTAAAGTTTATTAGATGACAGACTAATTTGTCAAGGGAAGTTCTCAAGTACAAACATTAGATAAGAGTAGGAATAGCAGGTCAAAGTTTATTATATGAGATTCTCTAGCATTATAGCAGGGGAATGTAGATTCCAGTTCTAGCACATAAGGTCTTACAAATACAAAACAGAAGCAAAATAGTGGACAGAAGGATAGAAAACGTACTCCATTATTCATCAGATACATGAATAAGAAGTTTTGCAACTACCAATGAATATATATTGCTTAAGCATGCATCCTTCTCCTATATGCTCTAAAACAAAACAAACCAGCCAAAGCTCCCCCCACTCCCCAAGAAATTAACAGTTTAAAATGCAGCCTGCTCCTTGAGGGTGTTGAATAATTATGAACTATGCTTTGGAAAGTCACAAAATATATTGATAGAGGCAGCTGTCAGGACCGAATTCCTCCATATTCTGCAGAAATGCTGCAAAATAACCTATATATATAGATTTATTTTCTTCAGGTTATATATATGTTTGGTTTGTTGAGACTAAACCCGAAGTGTTGCAGAATCCAGTGCCTAATTCAATTAGACTGTTATTTAGTAAGTTATATTTGAATAACCATTTGAATAAACAGCTTTGCACTTCTAATGTATAATTAAGGTTACATGTCTCTCTATTGTAGTATTCCCCATTGGAACAAAAATAAGAGATACAGAGTAGTCTCAAATCAAATGTAAGATCTATCAGCTGTTTTCTGAGATAGATTTTATGGTCTGATTAAGTACTCACTAGGTCACTCTAAACTGTGTCTGGGAAAGGGAAGAATTTATTCATGATTCTATTTTACGTATAACATTTTTATCCATATGGACCATATTTATAGTCTGGTTTTGTCTTGGGCTGAACTAGTGGTCTAATGAACTAAGTTTAACTCAGTTGATAGTGGAATTGTTAATGCAGTGTTTTTCTCTTCCTCCCTACAGTATGCTGTCTGGCTGGTTCTTTGGGTTACGTGGAACGTGTTTGTTATCTGCTTCTATTTGGAGGCTGGGGACCTTTCAAAGGTAATTTACCATTGGATAATTCAAGCCATCAGCACTTTGTTAACATGCCCCAGTCAACAACAGATTGTGCTCTGTTTTACTCATCCTTTTTGTTTTATCAGGAGTGTAGTAGTATGATGGAAATTTGGAATATTCTGGAGCGTTAGAAATTTTTAAACTAGCAAGTAATGAGCATATGCATTCTGATGCCCACAAAAATAATAGTATATATGTTTTAAAAGAAAATTTCTTCTTTTTGCCCCTCTCAGTAGTCTTGCAGTGCAAATTTCACCCCTGTGAGAGACATTAATTAATGCTCTCATGAATACAAAACATTGCCATCTCAGGGGTAAACAAATATTTATTGTACCATTTAGCTTGCTGTTACTTAGCTGGATTTGATTCAGGGTTCTTACATCATGGCATAACAATTACAAAAGAAGGGGTCTTTCATTAAATTAAGTTGTAAATGGAGATGCCAGAACAGATTTCCTTTTGGCTGCAGCAATGATTTTTAAGTTTGTGCTTATGGTAGTAATGTTATGCTTGAACACTTATACACAGTAAAAATCCATAGGAAAAATATATTTTCCCAAGAATTACATATTTATAGGGTTTTATTGACACTGCAAGTGATAACACATAAAGTGGCAGTTGGTAATGGCTCAATCCAACATTTCAAACCAAAACTTCTACTTTCTAAGGTGTTCCCAGAAAGCTGGCAATTTGTGGCATAAAAGATTAGCAGTGGCAACAAATTATTTTTTTAGAGTAATACACTTCTAAATATTGTTGCCTGTGCTGAATTATGCTCACAGTGCTATGAACTGACCATCAAGGAGAATCTCATGTGTCAAACAGATCACATTCCATTCTTGACTTAGATTTTTAATAGGGAGTTTAGCCCAACTGTAAATTAAAGATGTAATTCTCTGATCCTTTGTGAGTTACTGATATCTTATGATACAGAAAGTTAAACACAATTATAGGAAGAATAAATGGGGCAAAGATACTTCCTTACCTGTATTTTGTTTCAAATCACCCCCAATGTACAAAAGCTACTGGAGACAAGAGTATTTCATCCCCATGTATTCTGTTTCTTCAAAAGATACTGACTTCAAAAAGGATCAGAATTTCATTTCCTGAGAGTGTAAAGTACTTTTCTGCAGGTAAAACATTACACTTTCTGGGTTTTATATCTTCAATCTCATTAAAAGTTTGGCAAAAAACATAGTAAATAAAAGAACTTGCCTATCTTTTTTTTTTTGGTTAAAATACCTTCTTTATTGCTAAGTGAACTAATGTACATAACAAACTCAGCACCTGTTGTACAATTATACTCAATCCAATCCACCCTCTTCCCACCCACTTGTTTCAACCACCTGCATTCCTACAGTTTTAAATGTTGGGATGTTTATCTTGTCTGGGGAAGTGAAAGGAGATGGAAAAGAATGGAGAAAATAGAGGCAGCTGTTTGAGTACTGTGTCTTAATGGGTATAAAAACAGCTTAAAAACACTAGTAAGTGCTATTTGGAATAAAAATGGGCTACAAACGGTAACTAAATCTTGAACTGATTTTTTTTTCTGTAGTCTAGGGATGTGTCATCTAGAGTTTTCCCAACCAACCATAGAGTTCAGGCCTATGCTTGAATGCAGTTAAATTTTTTATTTGGTCTTTAGAGGTATTATTTGTTCCAGTGATATGATTTTCCTTGAAATACCCAGTAGAGTGTATTCCTTGCACTTCAACTGGTTTTCAGAGCAACAGAATTGCTAAAAAGAGAAAGCAAAGGAAAAGTTCCTACAAAATGGATTCAAGAAATAGGTAGAGATCTATTCTAAAAATGGTCTAATTCACATTTGAGGCATCACTCTCCACTCCTTTTCAACTGTGAATAGTATGTCAAAGCTCCCCTACATGATCGAATATTCTGCAAGATCTAGGGACTAGAAATACATGTCTAATGGAAACATACCCTCCTGTTCTAGGAGGATAAACCTTTTCAGAGTCTCTGGCTGTTTTACTGATGTAGGTTTCTTACAAAATGGATCACTGTAAGTGTTACGTCTCTCAGTCATACTCATAAATCTTGCACTGAATCTTTATTATTTATATTTTCATCTGGGAATAACTGCAACTTTAAATGTGTAGTGATAATCGTACATATTTTGTTTATTTGGAATGGCATGTAGAACCTTGAGAAAAGCTCTGGGTCTGAATTGGTTCTAAACAGAGAATAAAAAATAACCTTTAGGCAAGTACTAGGGGGATGCCTTTGAGGTTGTAAAGCGTAAGAGAGGATCTTGTGCAGCATGGCTTTAAGAATTGATGGATTAAAATTACAGCCTAATAATAGTTCAGATGGGTATAGTTTATTTATATATATATAATTCATAGCTTACTACCGAATAAAATAAAAGCAAGACTGGTTTTTTTTAAGTTTTGTGAACAGCTTTCATTCTCCGTATGTGTACAACAATTTTTCCATCATCACCTGCTAATACAATGGAGAGGACATATTTCACTGTTGTTATTAATCATTCCTTCTAATAATTATAACAAAAGGCTTGCTTTTGTTTTTTTTTATTTTAGTTGTGGGGGCATAGATCATGACGTTTTTACAGTTTCTCCTTATTACACTGAAACAGGTCTGCAAAGGCAGAAATTTTTAGAACAATGAGACAGGGAAATCCATTTGCATTATACACCATTGCAATCATAGATATCTTGTGAGAAATGGCATCACACTAAGTATTTTCTATCCTCAAGGCACAGTTATCTTTGCTGAAATTCTTTCACATCAAGCTGGAATATTTATGGCTTTATAAGAAAGATTTGTAACAAAGAGGAAGTGCAATGACTTGTTCTTAACCTTGATTTTTATGTGGATTTGTGAATGAATACCTAGAAAGCCCACTTCTCAAACTTACTTTTCAGTATTACTCTTCGAAAACATTTATTAGTCTGTGTTGTTTTGCTTGCTGGTGAGTGCCATACTCAGTATAAGTAGGACTTTTTGGTTTCAGGACTGGTAATATTTATTTTGGCCTGTGGCTAAGCAAATGTAGCATATGAAAAGCATAACCTCTTGTCTTGAATAAGCCACATCTAAAGTACACTAGTGAAACAAAAGAGTAAAACATAATAGAAAGCATTTCTGAGAAAAATGTAATATTTCTGTGATTTTTTTAAACCACGGTAAGGACATAATGAGACAGATTCAGCTATCTCAGAACAACAACAAAAAAATACTCATGTGATTAAGAAACAGTATTCTTGCTTCAAGGCATTTGAACGCTTCCCCTAATGATGCCTAATGATGCCTAATGATCCCACAAGGAGAATAGAAGCAGAATAAGACCGATCATACTCCTATTTTTGGTTTAGAAATGAGTAAAAATTTTTTTGCTGAAAAGAATGTGTGGCTGAGCTTGCACTGCTGCTATCATAAGCATAACGGGTGGAGATACTGCTACTGTCAGTTTCTGGATGTCAAGGCAGAGGCTGGGCTTGGGATGTTGAACAAGGGGAACCAGCTGGGATTCAGGATCCAAAGCAGCCCTTGATGCACATGATTCCAGCCTTGATTCAGTACTTTTGGTTCTCTTTGCATGCAACCCTATTTGTGTGATGAGATACAAGAGCTCTCCTCTCACTGCTGCCAGGCTGAGCTCTGGAATTACTTTGCTGTAGTCCCTAGAGTATTATGTGTTTGTGACCAAGAAAGCACTTTTTATAAACTCATTTTAACTGTCAAAATTGGTTTATTTTCTAGTTTTGTGGCATTCTTTACATCTTCCTTATTTATACTTAATAATATACAAATGTTACATTTAATCTATTAAATCATAAGGTTGTACTTTTATATCTTTTGACACAAAAATTTCAATTCTAAAAATCAAACACTCCAGTATCAAGATATGCCAGAATTAAGATTGTTTGACTTCACATGATTTAGCTCGCTCTTTAGATTAATTTTTATATAGCTTTTAATTACGCAGTCACAACTGTATTTTTTTCTTTTTCACTATCTTTTCCTTAATCCCTATACCACATGGCCTATTTTAGAGATGAAGGTCTGGGAGTTGAGTGACAGTGCCATACTGGATCTTACTCCATGTACTGCAGCAGTGAGAAAAAAATATAGAATTAAAACCTGTACTTCAGTTTGGATCTGAAAACATGTAGAATAAGAATATGAAAGGTTAGGTACAGAACCGTGGTACCTAAGAGCTCTAAGCACACTGGTGATATTATGTACATGGCTCACCATATGTAGTTGGAGTGTGGTTCCTGAAGATTTTAGTACTCATTCTACAGATATGAGTTGCAAGCTATTGTTCTAAAAAAAACCAACTTTCTATTTGCATTCAAATTATGTTACTTCCTTTCCTATATTACCCTGAACTGCAACAGGGGAACATGAAATAATAAGGAAGACTAAAGAATGAACTTATTTAAAATTGAAATGGTTAAATATGATACAAAGAACTGAATGTACCATAGTTATTAAAATGTAAGCTTAAGGAAAATTTGTAATCAAATTGCTTCCTGCCAGAAGTTTTAATGGAAATCAAATATTTCTGATCACTTTGTCTCCTACCCACCCCAAATAACTGGAAATATAAGATAACAGACTTACAAAATCACAGACTTATTCATGTTGGAAGAGACCTCTCAAGGTCAGTTAATCCAGTCTCCCGCTCAGAGCAGCACCAACTTAAAAGTTCTATCAGGTTGCTCAGAGTTTTAGCCAGGCAAGTTTTAAAAGTCTCCTAGAATAGACATTTCACAACTTCTCTATTTCTTAACTTCTCTATTTTTCACTGTCATTGTGAAAAAATTTCTACTGATAAGCAGCTGAAATTTCCATTGCTGAAATCTGTGACATTACTTCTTGTCCTTTCACTGTATACCTCTGAGAAGAGTCATGCTTCATCTTTTCTAACACCCCTTTTAGGCTTTTAAATGAAGTTTAGTACTTCAGCTTTCTATTTGTCCTTTCTGCAGTTGAATTCC